AATTTGTTAGGAGCCGAGGTTTACCTATTACGTTTTTTCCCCGATTATATAATTATTCGCCTTGAAAACACGATAATGCGTGTCTTCTGCGCGCGTATTTATCTACCTGTAGAAAATCCTCGTCCACGAACAGATTCCAACATTCTGAACCAGTTTGGTATTGTTGCTCGATGGTTGCCGGGTGAGACCTGTTGACAAACTGCTGGACGTCATTCATGTGTGTTCCCTGCTGCCAAAACTCATTCGTTCCTTCGACTTCAACAGTGCACACTTCTTATTAAAACTGATTATTCTCGCAACGCTTCTCTCTTCTTAGTACATATGAGACCATCGTGGGAAGATGCTTCTTACATAGCCATCGACAAATACTCGCCCCGTGCTCTCATCGCGAGTGTCATTTTAATAACCACGCACTTTCAGAGATGTAACAACAATACGCAAAACCAAGAGCATTCGGTATTAGTTTTTCAGAGATTGAAATATAATTGAACGCGTATCGACACTGCGTCATTTAAGCAAATTAATTCACGATTATCGCCGTCACAGTTCTCGTTGAATAAAAAAACGTGTAGCGTCACACTCGTCGCCGGTCGCACAATCGACTTTAGTGGTTTTTCGTCGCCCCGGGAAAACGATGCGGCCGTTTCCCGCAAGGTTCGCGTTCCTCTCGGCGTTGTTACAGTCGCGAGCGCGTTGCCGGGAATACAACGGTTGATCATCGGCGGATCGTCGCTCGGCAAAGGATCCACGGGTAGTAGGGCGACTCCGCTCCGATTGGCGGCTGATTTCAGGTGTACGTCCACACCACGTGCATGCACGCGGGTCCTGTGTGCGCGTACTTACGCATTGCGTCACGTTCCAGTCTCTCGACAACTGCCATACTCTCGAGGACCATCTCGCTGGGTCATTGTCACGATCGTTCTAACAACGTGACTACGCTCGCTGGGAAATTATCCCACGACTGGGCTAAATCACTTTTGCGATCCACGCTTTTATTATTGATATCGTCTAAATGTTACGCGATATGGGAAGCAGGAAGTCATACAATGACCAGTGATATAATAATATACATAGGATTTTTTGTTGTCTTTCGTATGACAAGTTTCTTATTCATTATATTCCTTGATGAAAAATACCCTTCAATCTTATTCCATTATGATCAGTCTAAATTTAGTCTGTTTTGTAACATCAAATGAGCAATGCCATCACTTTTTAATACAACGTATAATATAGTCCTTTTACAATAATTTGTTGAAGCCACTATATCTTTACGCAAATTGCAAGACTCAATTATGGTGTGCATTGCAAGATTTAATTAAAAGACTGACGTCAAGAGACATGGGACAGCGCGTAGAACTCGCGTGACACAAATTCAGGAAACTAGAGCTTAACTCTTGAGCCTCGTCGGCTACTAGGAGGACATACAAGGTGTGAGAACGTCTGAGTGAAATGTTTATTGGAGCATCGAGGTTGACTCTCAAGTCTTAAACCCGTCTTTTCTATGAGAATCGTGGATTTTGATCTGAGAAGCCTGTCGCAGTAACTGATCCTATCTCGAAAGAGATCTTAAGTGTAGACGAAATTTTATGCAAAATAATTTGGCAGACTTTTGTGCAAAATAAATTGTACGAATCTATCTTCGTTTTCACTTACATTTTAAATGTACTATCAATCATATGAAGGGGTAAAAGTGATAGTGGTAAATCACTTTCTGAAATGGAATCGTTCCGGAAAAGGTACAGCTGTTCTGTTAACATGCCTACATTGCGCTGTTATCACTGTGCAAGGGAAATGAGGTAGAATTTACTTCATGTTTTCTTTGAACGTATTTGTAGTTCAAGGAAATGAAAAATTATTAGACGCCAGCATCCCATTAGTGGATGATTGGGTGAAAATCCTGGCTTCGATCGTATTAATTATTGGGTATACAATTAAAAATGTAGAGAATAGAAATATTTACTTAAAAGTCAAGTCCCTAAGTCAACGAACTTCAAAGGTATCGAAAATTTCGTAAATATGCATTTCACACTATTTCATCCCTTTAGTGGATGATTGGTTTAAAATCCTGAAATTGATTTTTAGGTATTTACCTATAACTTACCAAAATACAAAAATATTGAGAAACACGTTTAATTCCAGTAGGAAGTCAATTTTGAAAAATCCAACAATTTTACACATAATAAGTAAGATTGTAAGATGTATTTATCTTTTAATATTCTGTACGTTTTTATATGTATATCGCATGCATTCTTTATATCTTCTGTGGATACAATTTTTCTATAAATGCATCAAATCCGTAGTCTATGTGTGTCAGTAGGTTCAAAGAAATGTGGTAGACGTTGGAAAATATAGTGCAACCTCAATTACCCGAAACAGCTTGGTTATTTCTCTTTGTACCGCGTCACTCCGCGTTTCTCCTTCGCTGATGCGAGCTTCTTTCCTTTAAACTTCTCTTCAAGTGGACAAATGGTTTAATCTTTATACAAATATTATTTATCGTACTCATTGTACGTGAACATTAATGACATCTAGTTTCTCTAGATTTTGTGATATAATATTCTAATAAATACATCTTTACGTTTGTCGCTTCGTTCATGATAAATAATCAATATTTGAGTTTGACATTATGTTGAAATTTGTTTTTATTTATATTGCAATCGTGCAATCAGGCTATTGTGGCATATCTTAGCAAAATAAATAATTGAATTATTTGATTCTTTAATCAGAAATCATTTTGAAGCTATTTCTTAATCGTTTGTTTCTTTCTATCAACCATTATGTATATATTGTTTACCTTGAAACATTGAAGCAAGTAAAAAAACTGATGAAAAAGAGAATGGTAAAAAATTTCATACCGTCATTCTCTTAATCATTTCGTAGCATCGTTTACTGCTCTTATTAAATTGATTCGAATCATTTTTTCAAGTTGCACAATTTTCATAATAACAAAACATTTACATAATAACATGTACTATTTCTATCGAGGACAACAGACACGTGTAAATTTATTAAAATTAAGTAGAAGCAAAATTAAGACAATTCACATCGTTAGATATAATAGATATCGAATCTTCTTGCCAAGCATTAAAATCACTGAGTGCGTGTACGTAACATGACTCAGTTCGTATATTTGTAAATCAGAGCCACTAAGTTCTAAATGTAGATATTTAATAAAATTATATAAAATAAATTATGGTTGTTCGACGAGTTCAACTATGTAGCAATCTTTTTAACATACATAATATAACTTACATATTTATCAGGATCAATTTATTTAAATCAATGGTTTCGACTCGTCAGAAATTAGTTTCTATCTTGTACTGTATGACAGAAGAATTTTATGTTACGTATAATTCATTGGTATAAAAAAACCTCTGGCCCCATTGAAAGCCATGAAACTTTAATTCCTTCTTTATAGAAATAGACTACCTATACGTATAACATAATCCTTTATCGAACTTCCAAAACGAAAGTGCAATAGTTATTTATAAATACTGAGACAATTTTTATATAGAATATCATTCTGGATATTTTAAATCGAAATGGGATAATAGAAATTTCATGTCAAATTTATTCTAAGTTAAATAAATTTTAACGAGTTCTTTGATAACAAAAGTAATGTATTTAACAAGTAAAAGTAGAATATTTATTTTCAGCTCATCTAATAGTCATATTAATTCTCCTCTATTGTAATTAAAATGCGACATTACAATATATTGTATTATGTAACATGATACTATGTAAGTTATTGTCAAACTGAAAGGTAGATTTTTGAAAATATTCTTTTATGTGAAAAATATAAACGCTGCATGTGATGCATAAAATTATGTAAAATATCAAAAGCCAGTAAAAATACATCTACTAACCTAACCTTGAATAAATGATAAAAGAAACTAGTGCAATGCAGTTCCTTAACCGATTATCATAAGTTTTTTGCTTTGGACAAAGGTATACATTGTAGCTACTGTATAATTAAAGATCCAACATATAGTCATATATTACTCAATGAAGTATTCATTTAACACGAAAGACAATTTTAGAAGAAGCACACGATTCTTCAAGTCTTTGACAATTTTCTGTATCACATTAATTTACCATATAAATTACATTAATTAAAAACTCTGTGCAATTATAAATTTTTAATTCCACAGAAAGTTCAACAAACACTGAGTTACCTCTATAAATTTTCCAACAGAGATTGCTAGAATCGCAATAAACAAACAAACGTATTGACGTTAATTGCGATCAGTGTTAATTAATGACAGAAAGTTTCATTAATTCGAGGATGCTTTTCTAACAAATTGAAGGACAGTCGCTGGTAAAAAAGCGTCTTCGTCGACGCGGTTACGTTGCCATTACAACATGCGACCAGCGAGTGTACTGGTGCCGCGTGTACGTACACATATACGTTAATTATGGTATGGCAAACATCGTGCTCATAAGAACATTATGCATATGGATATATCGGTAATTTCCCGGGACAAACCAAGGCGAGTTTGCATCGCGATTGTTGTCTTCTGAATCGACATAAGTAATATTCGATCAAAGAGGTCGCGACTAGATTGCGGAGTTTTATGCAAAGCATTAGCACGTAATAAATACCAATTAGGAAAACGAAGTCTAAATTCAGATTTCTTTTACTATTCAAGAACAGTGATCTGTAATATGCAGATCTCATGTATTTATAGAAAAATCGAAGGTGTAGCAATTAAGTATGAAGAATGAGTGCGATATTTACAGCCATATGAGATATTAAAAGCTGTACGCATATTTCAGTATTTATATATCATATATTATATAATCGTTTCAGTCGATTGATTTTCGTTACGATGTGGTTAAGGTCAACAGTTTTTTTTAATAAAAATCATATTTTTTAACGAGTTCGTTCTATTTAAGAAACCGAGGTTCATTTTTGCATGTTTGTCTACGGACGGACTAATAATATTTTTGGAACAATCTGTATTATTTAATGTTCATATATGTATGTGTAATACGCGTACCTGGAAGGAACGGTGATGCGGATGATGGGGATGATGAAACTGCGGCGTGTGAATCATGTCGCCGGTCTCGGGATCCTCGCACTTGGATGACTTCGCGACCTCGACGACACTGCTCGAGCTGGTAATCGCCGCTTCGTCCTTTGCGCTCGCGGATTCTCTCACGTTGTCCTCTGTCTTCTTCTTCACTTCCGATTTCGCTTCCTACACGACCAATTTTCGAATGAAACTGTTTCCCAAAACGTAAAATATCGAAACCATCATTCTAATTACCATATATCTGATAAAAATCAGATTTTATAGGAAAGCAAAAGAATTTATCGTTTCAGTCTACTTTTATGTTTTATGTAACTCTCTTGTATATACATTTATTTGCTCAGTTTTTACATAACATAATTTCTACATATCTGGTTGCTGTCTAATTAATTATTATATTATTCTCTTCTATATTTTTATTTAAAGAGCTTTCGTAGCGTTATCTACAATTGAGATATTATTAAACATATTTTTTTCGTTTCCTGAAGTCACATACGTGGGGGGTATGATCTCTTTTATGTACAGCTAACTAAAATGATTCCCGGCGTGCTTTGGATGCACACATGCGAAATCAGACTTTCATTATGCGGTACAAGTGTTATGAATATTTCTCATCTGCTCAACATTGACAGTTTGACAGTTAAATATCTTGAGGTTCGAACTAAGCTTCAGATTTCAAATCCTGACGAACGTAGTGACACAATGATATGATACAGTATCTATTTAAAATTGGTTGCAATGAATGAATCCTAATCAGAATTCGAATTAAAATCATAGTTAAAAGCTATGCTGTATTTCCAATCGTATGTTATACGGGCAAAAATTGTTTCAATAAAAAAGGTAGGCCTGTCCCACATAAAAAACGAAACGACATTATATTCTGGCTTTTGTTTTTGTTCTGCAGTATTCGTCCAAAATAAACAGCAGTCTGGATTAATCGAAATATACTGTGTAAGAAATTGGAAATACGTACCTCTGGCTGAGCCTCATCGAGGCCAACGAGCTGTAGTGCCTCCTCGAGATTGAATCCGTCGGGCAGGCCGAGCGTATCGTTGTTGAGGAGGCCGTCGACGCTCGCGCTTCCTAAGAGACCACCTCCGAGTAGGTCCGAGGGAAAATCATTCTCGAGCTCTAAAGTATCGGTTAATCCCAAAGAATCATTGGTTAATCCGTCCAACGGGTGATTGTCTAAGCCCAGCGACGCGTCTCGGAGCAGATGATCGTCTTCCTCGGTAGCGTCGCTTCCGCTCCCTCCTTGATTCCCAGAACTAAGAATATATTCACCTGTAACATACGTAGGATTCGTTTATGTACTATTCGCATTCGTTCTTATACAGAGTGAGTCAGTAACAAGTATCATACACAATAACTTGTTATCTAATTATTTCATCAAAACGTGTAGCGTAGGATTTCATCCGATAGAGATCATTAAATAAATGCATTCGTACATTCTGACCAATTAAAGTGTGTTTCTGTCTGAGTTCATAATGAAATCAATGACTATTGATTAATTAAAAATGATATTTCTTATTAACTCACCCTGTATATTTCAGAAATGGGAGGCAAACATATGTATAATAAAATATACAGCGTATTTTAAAATTGGTAAATTAAGTTGTTCAGTTACTAGATTTCTCTCAAATTATATTATGCTCCTTCTAGAAGGATAAGCTAGTACACAATGAGTAATCAGATCTTAATACTACTATGTGTTTTATGTTTTAGTAAAAAGGGGATCAATTTAATATTCAGAATTATTATTAGATTTAATCAACTCAATTTTCTTATTACAGTGTTTCACGGAAGGATTCGAACACATTTTAAAACCAAATGACTTCTATACTATTGGTGTAGTCGAGTTAATTTTCTTTTAGCTGTTAGAATACTAGTTCACTATGTGTGTAACGTGAAGCATAAAAATGTTAGATGCATCGACACGAAATCTTCCAATTCATAATATAATAATTCAATTCTAAGCCGAAACTTGACGAAAACAATTTTCTTTGTTTGAAATCGTTTTTAGCTCACAGTAACAGATTCCTATGAAACTATGTTTCCAATCCAATTTGTTTACACTTACAAAAAGCACGTTTTAAATTTTTATTAGAAACACCAAAAAAAAAGTTAAAATTGCGATTTCGATCATTAACAATTTTACATAGTAAACCAAGTCTTCTATGTATTATTTTTATTCTTTTATGTTTTCTGTTTTCTGGTTTCGTTTATGTAACATTTTTAATTATAGTTTGTGGTTTTTAGTTTCGTACAGGATTTTTATTGGTTTGATTGTAAGTTTAGACTTTATTTCTTCGTTTGTAAATACATTGTGAGAAGGAAACGGAAGTTCAGGCTAATGCAACTCGTAAGAGACGCAATAAACTAAATAAAGCACATCTTCCAGCATTTAGAAGAAAATGACGGTGTCTGCTTCGAGAATAAACAAGTTATTCTACTACTGAAAAAGTACGAACACTTTCGTGAACCACTGTACGTCACAATAACTTCAATATATACTGTAATACATAATTGAAACATGTATTCCTTGTTATTCGATTGCGGCACTCGCTACATCGGTCGCACTGGACGAAGAAACGAAATTACTCATATCCCGACTTCGCGTACTTATCTAATAGCGGGTTTTGTCTAAGGAAAAATGCACGCGATCGACTTATCCGTTGATGAGACATACGTCAGTAAGCGTAAACAGATTCGCGTGCCCAGAAACGATTCTTGAGGATCACTTAAAAGCATTTAATTGCACAGCGCGGTACGGGTCGTCGCTTATTAAACGTTCTGTTACTCGCATTATGTTACTGACGACAGTAATTCGTACGACTGCTACTGTAATCTCGAAAATAACGCACGGTTACGATTATTACGAACGAAATGAGCCAAAGGAATGCGTTACTTTGCTTGATGAATCTCGTGTTACGCGCGTGTCACCCCGTCGAACCACCGTTCTCTTCGATCATAATATAATAGATCTGTTAAATCACTAAACAGACTGCGGATTTGGAAAATATAGAAAATCCATTCACTGTGTATGTTGCATAGAATATGAAAATGGAAATTTATATTACTGTTCCTCGAAAATATAAAACAAATATCCAAATCGCACTTGATAAATTCACATTGAAAACGTTGTATTTTATGCGAAGGTTCACAGTGAGCGTCACGACTGGTTCACGAATAACCGTGATCTATCGTTCACATAAAATTCACTGAATCACGCCACGAGAACACAAATTCGTTTTATCTCCGATAAACAAACTCGTTCACTGCGATCGGTGCACTTTTTAATTCGACAGTAAAGGGGAATGAAGAATTAAAAATTGTTGCGGGATGATTCAAGGGAACCGGATTCACTGTGACTCGACTAAAACTCGACCCGATGCGCGGTACTCGAAAACTGACTGCGGCCGACGGGCAGGTAAAATTTCGGAGGAGGGTACGGGACAGGGAAAAAACGTAACTAATTGAGGGACAAAGGGGTGTTGTTGAAGATCCACCTGCTGGTCCGAGCAACCCCCGAAACGTTCCCGCCCCGCGGCCAATCGCATGTCCCCGTTTCCACCCTACTTCATCCCTTACGCACGCTCCGATCGTTGCTCGCGACTGTTATACTATTCCTTTTGAATAACTGCATACAATCTTTATTAATGTAAAAGTATCTATTGAGAACTATTACCTTAATTCTGATCACTGGGCTACAGATTTCCATTAAAATAAAACATTTGTGCTACCAATTTAAAAAATGAAATTCGGACACGTTCATATGTACACAACGTGTACATCAAGATTCTGTAGTGAAGTACAAATATATATAAACTATGTATGTAAATAATTCATATGAGTCTGGCTGAAATTACATACATAACACGTGTATGTTTATCGAGTAAAAGTGGCTATTAAAAATAGCATCTTAAGGAGCTAGGATAATCGCGTTACTTTTCTGACGTTTGTCAGTAGAATTTTTACGTCTCTTTTGCTGATAATCAAGCTAAAACAGTGTAAAATATAGATTTATGGGGCTACACTCTTCGTTTCGGTATGAGATGTTTGGCTCGTCGCTCTGTGGAAAGACAAAAGTTACACCTGGTGTGCTTTTGACTTAATTTCAAACAGAATAATCTCTAAAATTGCTTATAAAGAAAAACATTATAACTACGATTTCTAATCGACTGTGTAACAGTCATATTACTGAATATTAGCATATTTTTTCTTCTTTCCAAAGAGGTACTTGACGACGCAAGAGTATAAGGATGAAAAACCTAGTCCCGTAAACTCATATCTTTGGCTAATTTTGTGGGTAAGATTGACATTCTGCCTTATCGCGCCGATATCGGAATTTACCACCTTAATTGTAGTCACTAGACTGCAGATTTGTATATAAAATAAAACATTTGTGATACAATTTTAAAGAATGAAATCTGGATTCAGATTCCTTTTACTGTCCAAAAATAATGATGTGTACTATACATTTGATACTTTGTTCATTTTTCCACGTTTTTGATGGGTCAAAATGAAATCAGTTTTAAATCTAATAAGAATTTTGTCCCCTTAGGGGAAATTAACACAAGCCCGAGCTGGTTCAGATTCACTGTTACTAACTGTACATCTAATTTTTCTTCAAATGTATCAAATTTGCAGTCTAATGATCATTTATTGAAACAGAAGTATTCATGATAAGATGAAAAAAATAGCTGCAGCACACACACGTAAAATATGTATAAATGTTTCATGTTACTACTTCAAATGTTTGATGTCCTGATTTATAGCATGGTTGAAATATGCGTTTCAGATCTAGGGACCTGTCTCTATTTCCCTGTACCGGTTTGTCAAACACGTGTACGAGCTCTATTAATTGCATTTCCAACGGCAAAAATACTTACGGATGTTTCGTTTCCTAGCAGATTGATATCTGTTTTAAAAATGGGACATGAAATATGAAACACGTGATACGAAAACGGTGTCTCATAGTAAAATACATGCTGTTTAATCACTTTTTTATTGTATCAATTGATTTATCAATTATCAGTGTATGAAATATTGTATTAAGTATTGTAACAACTATTGTATGAAGCATTGTATCACTACATCAATTATTGTATCGAGCATTACAACAATGTTATATGAAAAATTCTGTCAATTACTTCTATCTTCCAGTTAAGTGATTCATTCTCTAGTTGGATAAATAATGTTTCGGAAAACCGACGCGTTCTACTATAATAAATGATTCCATAGAGAACAGGAATTTCGTCTTCTACGTTTGGAGAAAATTTCATACACCCCAATCTAATACATTGACACAGATGCCGCGGTCGAATCAGAGATGTGATTTTTCAGTTCGGAAATTATAGTCGGCCATTATCGTACGGTCGGACCCACATTTGGGCCAGACAATGGCCGACGCTACTCGTTAATGTAATAGCCATCTGAAAAGGTAGGATGTTCGGTTCGTTCCTTCCACCCGTGCCTCGTGACCGACAGAAGAACGAAAAGGCTCTATACTTCTTTCGCCGTGCCGCCTGTCGTTCAATTCGGCCCGGGGCCTGTCCACGTTCGAGCAGCCTTCGAAGAATTATTATTTTATGAGATTATTATCTCTAATAACATCGACCGGTGCGAGGAAAAAAGAAGGAGACGTAGAATTTTCTGGCTTCTCAGCTTCTTCTATTTTCCTCCGCCCGAAATAAGAATCAATTAACGACAAAGAGCGCGAGCGCTCGTTTTCTCGCAGCAAAAATATAATTCTCTAGTGGCAAAAAGTTGATCCGAGGTTGTGTTTCGACGAATGCAAGCTCTTTCGTCTTCCACGCTGATTGAGTACATTTACAAAAGTAGAGAGTCATTCTAATGATTTGGATTTAGGTTTGTTTCAACGAAATTCGAAAAATTTTACTTGATCCTCTTTGGGCAGATAATATTTTCCTCAATTAAAGATAAGCTATTCGTTGAAAGCTGGCGGGAATGTGTTAAACAATATCAAATGAACAAAGTCCTAATTAAACATCAGACATTACAGTCATAATTCTTGTTTATGTTTCCCTCGTGAGAGACGGCGGGAAAGATGTGATAATAACATTAATAACGCGGTTAATTAAAAAGAGACAGGGTTAAATACAACTCGTCAAATCTTAGAGTTAATGTTTGTTGAAGGAGGAGAACAATTACATAGAATCTAATCTCTATCTGAGTCTAAAGCTAACAAGTGTTCTTTTTTTTTCAGAAGCTACTGAACGCATACAATAGATTTGATGGTATAATAAATGAATCAGAATTTT